ATCACACAAACATTTCATATCATTTTGTGTCTTTAGAAAATGTATTATGTAAGCATTACGTTTTTATACACATACAATTTTAGTGTTTAACAACAATCACACAAATGTTTCATATCGCTTTGTGTTTGTTGAATTTTCTTTATTTTTTCTAGAGTTTAGAATAACATATAATTACAAATATAAAAGTTATATTAAATATTAATTAAATTTTTATAATATGTTTGAATATTATCTATATTATATTACTTTTTTTCCTTGCACAATATAATTTTACCAATATATATATTTTAAGTATACATTTTTCCTTGACCTATTGCTAAGTAAACCAAAATGGGTTTTACTATCACTCTTTATCCTAAGAGCGGGTAGTCTGGGTAGATGGTTGGTCCGCACATTCATGCATACCAATCACCTCACTGCTATTAGGACATATAGAAATTTTTTAATAAATACAAATTGACTATTAACTAAAATTAAAATTAGACTGTAATCGAGGTTAATAAAATTTATTCACGACAGGTTTGCATGCGACTTTGATTTTTGAGAGATTACTACAAAAAAACTCTCATACTAAATTAATTTTACAAAATAAATCCTCACCTGAAAAAAATGCAAGTCAATCCTATAATCTCTAAAGTCATCCGCAATATAGTTCCTGAAATATTTATGACGTGGCATAAAAAGACGTCGTTTGTAATTTAGATGGAACTCCCAACACCATGTTGTTTTAATAGTCAAAACAACACGCAGTTTCACAAACATCATCATAATTAGTTATTTTTATTAAACTTAACAAAATAAAGAAAGAATAAAAAAAAGACAAAGAAAAAATTTAGTCATCTTTTTCGTTGATGCTAATCTATCTACCAATAAATCAAATTCAATCTTGCGAAGAACAATCCCTTCAGCTTCTCAATTTTGGAGACAATTTCTTCACTGAACAAATTTCAAACATAGAAGATCAAATCACGTCTCTTTTCCTAAACATATTCACTCTATATTTCTCACCCGATCTCAACCCTTAGTGAAGAAGAAGGATCAGCACCATCGATATAAACGACGTCCTAGATCTTTACTGAAATCAAAGGATGTTGAAGTGGAGAAGCTGATTAGCTGATCCAGTGGGGTTTAGACCAGGGGCGGAGGAAGAAATTATTTTTATAGAGGACACTATTGAAATTGTTTAAAGAATCAAAGGGGCATTACTAAAATTATACAGAGTTTACATGAGATTTTAACAAAAGCATTGGGGTCAAATGCCCCCCTCTTACATAACGTGGCTCTGCCACTGGTTTAGACGTTGTCTGTCTCCAACCGTCTCCTCCCTTTGATAGTGATCTGGAAGTGAAATCGTGAACTTGGTGAGATATAGATATTAATTGATTCACTAACTGGTGAAATTTTAGGTTTGTTTGTTGATTATCATTGTCCAATTAGCTAGGTTAATTAGATAATTTCTAGAACAATTGAAGAAGATGGAACAAAAAAAATAAAGCGAAAAGGAGAAGAAAGATGGGCAGATAACACACAATAAGCTTCCATTTGTTCTCTTTTCCTATTATATCAAAAACAAAATATAAAACAACATGTAGTTTATTATCTAAAACGGTGTGTTTTACTTTGTGTCATCGATATAAAGTTAGTTTAACGGAGATATTATATTGCGGGTGACTTTAGAGGTTATAGGATTAACTTGCATTTTTTTCAGGTAAAGATTTATTTTGCAAAATTAATTTAGTTTGAAGATTTTTTTGCAGTAATCCCTAAATATCTATATCTATACGCATATTTGTGAAAAATCAAAGTATGGATATATGTTAAAAAAATAACTAAATACATATTTATAATGTATAATTAATTTTTTGATAAAAAAAAATACTTATATATATGCATGTAGGTATGAATTATAAATAAGTGAATTCTAATATTTAGGTGTTGGGTATTTTTTCTGAAAATTTCCGCAAACGTTATGATTTTACACGATACAGTTTTTAGCGTTTAACAACAATCACGTAAACTGTTTCTATCGTATTGTATTTAATCAAAATTTCTTATTTTTCAGCGTTTTATGATATATGGTTTCTGAATAAAAATTAGAATAAAAATTTATTATAAAATTTGTTAATTCTTATTTTATAAAATTCTCTGGTAGCTCTCCGCTCGTCTCTTCGTCAAATTTTTTATAGCCCGCAATCGCTCACTTCCACAAACTCTTTGTAACCGCAGCGTTTAAACCAGCCGGATCCTAAACTTATATGTGTATGGTTTAAGGTATAAAATAATATATTTAATCTTTAATTTTTATATTAAAAAATAAGAGTTCTTCTGTTTCTAACTTTGATATATGTGTTAATTTTATATTTAATGGATCATAACATATACAAAATTTGATTCATGAAATAATTTTTTAAGATGTTGAAAAAAATATATGCATAAAAAATTAATATGTGTAAGATAATAGTTTTAAATATTTCAAAATAAAAACATAAAGTCGATCAAAATTATTCCTTTTTGTCTTCTTTGAATCGTATTTTTTTCTTAACCTTGAATTATATATTGAACATTAAAATCATCTCCAATGTATTTTTATATTTTTTTCTCTAAAATATAGGTTAATTTCTCTCCATCCTATTTCTATTTCAAAGGAAAAAGAAAGATTATTACTTTTTCCTTGAATTATAGAAGAAAAAATAATATCGCTATTTTTCCTCTAAATTAGAAAATTTAAAATAAAGGTGGGTTAGAGATGCTTTAAACCAGAGACATAGCCTAAGATTTTTACAGAAAACCAAAGTTGTAAAGATTCATTTTTACTTTTATTTTTACTTCTATTTCTTATTCATATATTTATTTCTATCAAATAAAATTTATAATACATATTTGTTATAAAATTTGTGAAATCATATTTTATAAAATTCTCTGGTAGCTCTCCACACATCGTTTTGTCCAATATTAAGTAATTGGTTTGATGGAGAAAATAAATTTGTTATGGTTGGTCTGCACGCATATGTTCATTATCAAATTTGAGTCACACATGCGTTTATTATAAAATTTCTTTCTTAAGAGTTTTAAATGACTCTATAAAACAAAGTTTAAGAGTGTTACAACAAAATTGTTTAGATTTATTTTCATTTTTATTTCTACTTCTTATTCATATTTGTTTTTCTTTATTTATAATTTATTTTTTCATCCGGTTACATTGCGTTTTATTTCTGATCTCAACTTCTCGATCTACAATGAGACTGTATATGAGTATGATATAAACTTTTAATTTATTTAAAAAAGATGATAAGTGATAAAATGAGATAGTAATGTAAGCTACGCAAATTCCAGAAACAAATAATATTAAAATATTAAAAAATTATATACAAATAATAATATATCATACTCCCAACATTATTAATATATAGCGTATATACTATCTTATTGGATAATCTATTATTATTTTTCTATATAAAAATATAAAATATATATTGGTTGTATCGTAATCACATTTTATGCAATATATTATGAATATATATAAAAAAAAATTTGAAATCATAGTAATTATTATTTTCTGCTAATTTAAATTTATTATTTTTAGTGTTATAATCTAGTGTATTTTATTTAATTATAATTCAACTAATCAAAACATTTCGTTTATTTTAGAAAATATATTGTCATATTTCCATATCATCTAACTTTTGCTAAGGTGATGTCATGATATATCAAATTTTTTCATTAAACATGCTTCTCAAAAAATAGTTAAAATGTGCCATTATTAGAATTTAATCAACCAATATAATCAAAAACCTATCGTTGCTTAACATCTCTACCGCCTCACACAAACAAGTCTACCAATTTAATTCTATGGGTTTGCTATACCATTCGTTTACTAAATTTACGAAAATCAATAAAGTCTATGGAGTATTTTTAAGTCTACAGTAATTAGGGTGGTACACTTTTGTCATTTGGTAGTCTTTTTGTTGCCTATGTGCCAGATAATAGTAATGACAGTTTCTTAATTAGATATTTGTCAATCAAAAAAATAGTGGTAGAATTTAAGTTGTATGAAAGCGGAAAATGATACGCGGAAAGAAACACGACGTTTCGAGATATGGAAACATTATTCTTTTTTAAAAAAAAAAAAAATATATATATATATATATAGGAATAGAAATGTTTTGAAAATGTGTATATATATATATTAAACATTAAAAAATATAAATTATTTTAAAATAAAATATTTTAAAATAAAATTAAATATATAATTATAAAATAGTAGTGTTGTTTAAAGTTAAAAATTTACAAAACATTTCTTTATCATCAATTTCATTAGCTTCATCGAACTATAAAAAAAAAAATTTCAAACTCAATGATACCAAAAAATAATCTCATACGAATTAAAATAATTATTAATTTACTCTAATGAATCAAAGTAATCATTAACTTACTATAAACCACTAAATTGGTTACTTGAGCGTGTTTTTATAATGGTTAAACTATTACTAAAAAATGGTTAAACTATTACTAAAAAATAAAATAAAATTTTCATCATATTGTTTCCATCGAGTTTTCAAACTAAATTTTTTAGAAAACATAATTTTTCGTGTTTTCAAAAGTTTTGATTTCTAAAACATTTTCGAAACAGGAAACGGACCTCATGTATCCCGTAAAATCAAGTTCAAAACTTTCTAGAATCCATTTGAGTAAATAAGATTTTTGAGAGTTGTCCATTTCAGTAGTAACTATTTTTCAAAAGTCATTATAGTAATCTACCTTTGTTAGTATCAATTAATAAAAAAATGAATGAGAAATTAAAATTTAATCTTTATGAAAATGTTTTTTAAAAAATCACTATTATAAGAACATGTGGATTTTTCATTTTGATGATTCATGATTCTGTTTATTTCTTTACATAATTCTCATTTTCATTTTTTCGGTGTTACGATAAAAAAAACCATTATTAAGAAAAATCAAACTTAATCAACACAAAATTGGATCTAAAAATACGGTTGGGACATCACAACATTTATGGCAGCATTTAATTGAATTGATTGCCATGCATTTTTCCAATATATCCTCGATATAAAAAAAACATTAAATATAAATTAACCCAAAAACATACTTATTTATGTAAAACTTTCTCCTACATAATCTGTGAATCTTCTTTTCATGTTTCTCTGTTACCATCCTTTTCGGTCCCTACTTAAAAGAACCGTCAGCTAATCCCCTTTTAAGATAAAAAATCTACTCGCCTAAACATAATACGATAATTTTCTTTTAGGTATTTATTTTCAGGAAATGGGAAACGAAGCAACTCTGAGATCGTCAATGGTAGGTCTTGCAATGGTGATGGTGTTTGTATGGATATGGACACAGTCTTTAAAGAAGACGGTCGTTACTTACGCCATCGGTGTTTCTCTGATAGGCGGCATAATTTTGCCGGATTGGGACTTCTTTGATCGGAATTTCTCTCGGTGGGGCTATCCTGTCACCGCCGAGGAAAGAGCCGCCGCTCTCTCCCGTAAATCTCAACGTTCAAGGTTACTTATATCTTATTTCAATATCAAATTAGTTGCATATTTTTTTTTTATTTTTTTTTATAAAGGGTTTGTTGCATATATATATTGATTAAAATTGTTAGATCTAAATCATTATCTTGATAGTTTTGTCACTACTTACGATTCAGTTCAATCATGTAAAATACATATTTTTAACACACAAAAATTGTTAGATTCAAATTTTGGTTTAGATTAAGGGCTCAATCCTAATGAATAAATCTGTTGAACATATAACAATAACGTACAAAGTTAGGTTTCCGTTTCATTTATAATGTTTGTTTACAAATTAGGGTTTACAAGTTAACGTATGATGATTGAATATATTTATTTCTGTGTGATATACTTGTAAATTATTATTTGCAGGTTTAGAGTGTACCCTATGAGGATGGTTGTATACGGTATGGTCTACGGATATGCAGTGTATAGATGGTGGATGTTCGTGTCAAATTGAAGCTATGTTTGTATTAATCGTCCATGATTAACAAATTATGTTAGCTTTATTTCTTTTTTCTCTTTCATATAGAATTGATTTTGATATTTAAATAATATGTAAGACCCACCCAAAAAAAAACATGAAAGACCCACCAGATTACATATTGATTGCCACGAAAGGTTGGTCAAAATTGTTAAATAAATATTTGTCAAGTTGTAATGAAAATTTTCAGACAGATTAAAAATGTTCAAACAAACAATAATTGAATATTTGCATGTAGATACAAAAACTAACAGAGCCTAAATATTTGTCAAGTTGTGATGAAATTTTTCAGGCAGATTAAACTTTGAGCTTGATTCTATATGGTGCAAACCATTTTAAATTTTATTTTATCATTGAAGCTTATTGCCAAATATTTTAAGTTAAAGTTTATTATGAATTATTTGTAATCTACAATCTCAAAAAAAAATTGAATAAACTGATGCTTGGAAAACTATATTATGTGCATTTAATAAATAATTTTGTAAACAAAAATGTAAAAAGACTATGTTTTAAATATATATATATATATATATATATATTATAAACTATTTATAAATTTATTATACTTATTTGAAATTGAATTTTTTCTTTTTATAAATTTTTTAATTATAATTTTTTATGTTAAATACAATATAAAAAAAATATTTTAGATTTGAATAGAACATCAAAAATAGTTGGACCGGCATGTATCCAACCTTTTTGGACCCTCCAATTTTTAGTATGCAGAAGTTGGGATTTCATCAAAGTCAAACAGTCATTTCTTTCTCTTCTTCCTTACCAAACGAGTTTCTTTCATTTAAAGAATATATCATTTATTTACTGTTTTTTTTTAGATTTTTGTTTCTTATTTATCTTTTACCCTAAAAAGGGGAAAAAACATTGTTCCAGTACTTTCAAAGTGAGTTAAGCACTATGACGGCATCATTGTTAAACAATTCGGTGTTAGAGATGAATTAACAAGAATTAGCAAATTGCTTAAAAGTTTTTATCCGATATCCCAAAACCCAAAACAAAACCCCTAGCGATAATGCACATTCTACAACCAAAAGCGATTCCAAAATCAAAAATCTTTGGGTTAAAAGTTATAAACAAGCGTGACACTTTCAATACTAATCAAACCTCCCTATAACGTGTGCTTCACCCTCTGATGTCGATAATTAGAAAGTAAAAGTCTCTAGGTTGTTTCACAAGGAGGAGAAGGAGGAGGAGGAGGAGGAGGAGGAGAAGGAGGAACACCAAAAACCCAATCTAACACATTCAAATATTTTGATCGAAATACCTCTCTTTCCTGCGCGTAACAGTGCATTATAATGGCTGTCGAAACGCTGAACACAACCACATCTGCTCTTCTTAGACTCTTGGGAGGTCGAATGTATCCTGCATCTGTCATACAAGTGAAGAAGCTCTCTATAGCCCTCGCTAAGCAGTAGAGTGATATCTCTATCCTTCTGCTTTTCTTTTCAATTGCTAATGCCAAACCTGTTGGGAACTGCATGAAAGGGGCAAGTCTTAGGTACAATATTAATGTTCCATACATATACATGTATGTGATGTGAATGGATTTTTTGGTTTGTACCGTTGCTATTGCCACGAGCGGTATGTTACATGTCTCAAAAGTCCGGAAAAGTAGGCAAGTCCAAGCCCTAGTTTAAGATAGTTATGGAGATGGTATAAGTTTCAGCGTCAAGTGAGAACATAAAGAACAAAAACTTCGATGAATATCTATAAGCTTATGATGTTTTTAGTTAAGGTATTCATGATTTGATTCTAACCAGGCAGAAGTGCAGTAAGTAGAGAGAAACAAACTTGATCTCGCCGTGCCAAGAAGACCCTTGCCAAGTATAGAGTATTGCCTGTGAGATTTTGGGAATGAATAATTTCATGAGGTGATGAATAAGATCAGCATACAAAAACTATATACCATTTAGCTAGCGATTTAAAGATTTTACGGATAATAGTTCTATTACTTTTTTAGCAGGTCTTGACGATGGACTATTAACGCCGGGATCAAGTAGACAGGGACATAGACAGGTAATGCCCTCTTGTAAGCTTGAAGGAAAAATGTAATACCATGCTTAGTACACGACTCTTGTCCATGTATTATCTGCAAGAAACAACATAAAATATTGAGTACAACTTAACTAGAAGATGAGCATCAATAATAACAATGGTTGCAGAATCACTGAAGATATAGTTAATATGATGAAATCATGAAACACAAAAAGAATGACTTTGCAGTTTCAGATCGTCATTTCTCTATAAATATCCACTTTTGATTTCACGAACAAAAAAGTAGACAAGTAGTGCTCTCTATTGATACTGGTATAACTTTACTAGAAGATGAGCATCAATAACAACAATGATTGCAGAATCATTGAAGATACATCAACTATCGACAAAGATGCACACAAATAGGTAATGCATATAAACTAACATAATGAAACACAAAAAGAACAGTTTCAGATTGTCATCTGTTGCTCTAGAAAGTAGAAACTTCTTCTTTGTTTCCTTTTAACAACCAAGGAGGAGGCAAGTAATGCTTTTTATCAATTTTTTGATAGAACAAAGAGATACAATATAAACCTACCGTACACGGGACTTTCATATTCGGATCCAGTTTGATATCAACTCCAACAGACTTGTAATATTTCTCAATTGCCCTTAAATTGGTGAATGGCTTGGCGCTTGCGATGTCTTTAACGCCTTGCAAAATAGAAAGATCCTTCCCACCATGTTTGTTAAGGAAAGACTTGTACGATGAAGGAAGGCTTTCTTGCTTTAAAATGTAAGCAGACCTGAATAACACGTAACTGAATAAAAAAACAAGAACTTCCAAGAACTACTCTACAAAGAACTCATCTTCGCTATAACTGTGAAGTATCCAAAAAAAGTAAGATCTTTGTAGAGAGAAAGAGAGGAAGCATACAAAATCTGTGAAGATGAGAGACACATGAGAAACAAGTCACCATGTTTCCAAGTAAGCGGCTTGCATATCGAACCAAAACGTTTGCTTTTAATGCCGCAACGCGACGCAAGAACCGCTGCACGCATCAATATGTAAACAGCCAAACTCATGTGTTGTGTGTTTGGCCCGGTGAGAAGCATCGATGGACCAGCCACCAAACCAGCAAACAGGGCCCTCCATTTTGCAGTTCTGGATTCAGATAAAACACTTTTTCACTGTGATACAGAGACTGATACAATTACAAACAAAGAAAGAAGATCAAAGATAGTGTGAACATGCCTTTGGTGTCCTGCAAAAGCACAAATAGCTTCATCCACGGAAACAAAAGTACCAGCAAAAGTTCCTAAAAACAGTCCGTATCTTAGTGTTTCCTTAATCCCCAAGGCAATAGCTTCACTATTCGAGAAATCACCGACTTTCCTAAAATCCATAGATTCCAATCAGAACTCAGCTTAAGACCAGAAAAAAAATTCCAAAAAACTAAATTCGATTCTGTTACCTCGATTGGGAAGAAGATCTACGTCGAGCGAAACGAGCTATGATTGAGAAAATAGCTAATCCACCTTTAATCCCAGTACCTATGGAGAATCCTTTGACGGAAGCGACGATGATTCTACGCAGCTTCTCGGAGTCATCAACTGGGGAAGCCGATTTTGATCCAAACGAAGAAGATGAAGGAAAAGAGGAAGAGAGATCGGATTTAATCGAATCGGACCCGTTGCAATGTACGCATGTAAGAAGGTCAATCGATTCACCGGAATCGTCGCCGGCGATTCCATCGATTTCACGGCGGATGCATGAGCAGCGAGAACCGTTCGCCGTCCGGCGAGACGGCGGCATGACGTCGGCGAGAATAAGGTTGCTCGGATTGCGCCAAGGTGATAGGTAAGCTTTGGTGGGAAATTGGGAATTGGCTTTTGAAATAAAAGGCCAAACGGAAGAAGGAAGAATGAAGAAGGAGAAAGGTCTTTGAGTGTGACGAAGACAGCAATACAGCGAATCAGATTTCGAGCCACTAAGAATAATACAGATGTCAAGCAATGACTGACACGTGTCAGTCCTTCATATTTTTTTGTTCGTTCTAAAGCTCTGATTCTTCGGCCTCGGTAACCGTTATAATTGAAGTATGGGTTGTGAAAGCAATGGGCTTGTATTATGGGCTTGAGAAGATAATGTTTAAAAAAACAAAATTTGTTCGATATGTCACATTTTTTTGGTTTATACTACGGTTCGTGACACCCACATATTTTTTTAATCATAATTATCAAACAATTTTAATCAGATCATTCGCCTTTTATCATCATGTTATAATTTTCTGTTCAGTTGGTGAGAAAGCTGACATATATATATATATATATAGATATTTATTATTATTATATATATATTATTATTATATATATAGTGTTAAAATATTGAATTTATTGCTTAAGAAATAAATGTTTATGTATAAACGAATAAAAAAATCAGATTGAACATAGTGTAAAAGAAAAGGTTCAAAAATAAGGTTCAAATATTTTGTGATGTCTAACCATTCTGTGAAAAGGTAAAAAAGTATGAACATGCGAAACATGAGTGGGCACTGCCTGTTGGGGTAAGTTGATTTGGCTGCGAAGTTGTTGAAGGAGTTTTTTTGGTGATGCTCTTTGCTCAAAAGGTCAAAATGGATTTACTTTATTGATATTCCAGATTAATGAAGGCAAATTTATCAAAAGTTTGTTCGTAGAAGCGCAAACTTGGTACAACGCACGGTAAGGTGTACGGGGCACGTGCCCCCGACTGTTTTTTGTTTTTCCCTTAATAACATTACGTAATTTGATTAGTTATTGTTAGTTTAGTGGGCAAAAAACCTCGACTTTATATAACTTATTTTAATAAACAATACTACAAAAGTCCAATATTTACAACCCACTCAATATAGAAATATGTAAAAATTGAATTACTATAGTTATTGGACTTTTCTAGTATTGTCATAGATATAGTTAAAAAAAAGAAATCGTCATAGATATAAACTAAGAAGAAGAGAAGTTTGATTAAAATAAAGAAAAAGTAAGAAACGTGTAAAATTAAGTTTATATCTATGACGATTTTTTTTTTTAGATTGGTAAAATTAAGTAAGCAATTGAGTAATTCTAATTTACATGCTTCAGTTAACTAAGTATGACAATTTGAATAGATAAAATTTGCTATTTCACGTTTTCTCTTTTTTTTTTTTTTTTAATTGATTGTTTGATTATGTTTGATTAATTAATTTAACATGATTAATAAAACTAGAATAAATTTGTAAGGATTTATTTTATTTTAAAACTTTTGTTATAATAAAAAAAAATTTCTATAACATTATGTCCCCGGTTAAAAATGGTTCTAGATCCGTCTCTAGGTTCAAGTAAACCGGTTTGTGGTGGTGTAACATGGTGCAGGTATTAGGAAGAACGGTTTGTATTCTTGTATATTACAAATGAAACTATTCTCTATGTGGGTGGTCCAAGATGCATGAAGAACCTTTCATTGTAGATTGTTGTGGTATGTGTAATTCGGTTTAATAGACACTATGAATTCTAAATCAGATCGTAGAATTCTCTGTAACTGAGTTTTCAGGTCAACAGGTTATGAGATCGGATATGACCAAACAAAGCTATGTGAAAACCCTTATTTTTCCACACGATTTCAAGGGAAGTTCAAATCCAGGGAAAGCGCTGCTAATGTATTCCCAAGTTTTGCCTACTACTTGACCACGCTCGTGTAGGCTATGTGTAACATTGTCTGTTGTAAACAGGGGTAGCTCCACATAGAAAGAAGAAAGGTCATCTAACTCATCTTAAATATTAAATTTTAAAATAATAAGCTAAAATTGGCTCATTTGATTTATTTACTAAAATTTTTTTTTCTATAACATTATGTCCCCGGTTAAAAATGGTTCTAGATCCGTCTATGGGTTCAAGTAAACCGGTTTGTGGTGGTGTAACATGGTGCAGGTACTAGGTAGAACGGTTTATATTCTTGTATATTACAAATGAAACTATTCTCTATGTGGGTGGCCCAAGGTGGGTACATGAAGAACCTTTCATTGTAGATTGTTGTGGTATGTGTAATTCGGTTTAATAGACACTATGAATTCTAAATCAGATCGTAGAATTCTCTGTAACTGTGTTTTCAGGTCAACAGGTCATGAGATCGGATATGACCAAACAAAGCTATGTGAAAACCCTTATTTTTCCACACAGTTTCAAGGGAAGTTCAAATCCAGGGAAAGCGCTGCTAATGTATTCCCAAGTTTTGCCTACTATTTAACCACACTCGTGTAGGCTATGTGTAACATTATCTGTTGTAAATAGGGGTAGCTCCACATAGAAAGAAAAAAGGTCATCTAACTTATCTTAAATATCAAATTTTAAAATTATAAGTTAAAATTGGCTCATTTGATTTATTTACTAAATTTGAATTTGGTAAACCTAAGGTTAAATATCCTCTAATGTACCCATATCAGAGTTTTTTGTTTTATTTTATACTAATAAAAAATTTAGTAATATTTATGTTAGTTTATGACTCCGGTAAAAATACTTTCCGGAACTGCCACTGGTTGTGAAGTTATTTGTAAAACCGTTCGATGTATTTCCAAATCTTGCATGAGAGATTTCTGTCAATGCAATGACGAAAAAACTCTCTCTTCCGATATAAATTTGTATTCTTGCATGTTTACGGGTCTAGTTGACCTAAAGATACCAAATAGAGAATAACCATATAATCACAAAGACGAAAACACAACAATAGAAAGATTCTGGTCAGAATACACATATACGATGCTAATTTGATCCATATATATAATTGTATCTTTTAATTTAAATCTAAGTAAGAAATATAATTAGTTAATGTCAATGAAAGATGCAACAAAACTATGAAATCTTCTTTTTTTGTTTCCCAAGGTTTAAATTATATGGTTAATGGTAAACCGTCGCCAGAACCAATGCTTCTCCCAAACTTGGTACATAGAATCCACAGGGATCCCTTTAGTTTCCGGCAAAAACATCACGACGAATAGCGTCATTAACAAGATCCAACCGCCGTAAAACAAGAAAGCACCGTACTTGAAACCGCAGAGAGTCGCAAGGAACGTCTGAGAGAGAAGGAACGTTGCGGAGAAGTTCACGGCGACGCTTAAGCTCTGACCAGCTGGACGCAACTTGAGCGGGAATATCTCGCTTGGGACCAGCCAGCTCAGTGGGCCCCACGACCAACCAAACCCAGCTGCATATATGCATAGCAACACCACCACCGTCACGGCGTAGCCTTTCGTCATCTCTCCGTCTGCGGCGGCTCCCACCGTCGCCGCTAGCAACGCAGCCACTGCCAGCTGTACATTAGCGAATTTCAGTGGTGGACCTATAAAAATCCCCATTTATCTTATAGTATAATGTTACTTTTTTACCGAACCCAATAATATAAAGAGACGGAGGTGAAAGTGAGTTATGAAAAATATTTTGCAATTAAGTGATTAATGATAAATGCATTAAAAGTGATCTATGATAGTAAATTATTGCGTTTATAGTATTTATAGCTTTCTCCGTTTCTTGTTCATGATCTGTTGTATGCTCTGTTTTACAGCTGGCTCTCTCAGCTCCTTTCAAATACGCCAAAAAAGTAATTTACACTTAAATTGTATTTCTTTTTTGAAAAGGGGGTTGAAATTGTATTAACCCATAATTTTAACTATTACTAGGTATATAACTTGCGCTACGCGCGAGTCTGTATTAATATTTTGATTTAATTTTTTTAGCTACTATTTTAAAAATTATTAAGAATATAATATATTTAACAAAAAATTATTTATATAAGAGAATTTAATATATAATGTGTAATTTATTCTGTTTTTATTTATAAATTTTAAAAAAATATTAAGTAAAATAATAACAATGACACCTATCGAATTATCCAACTTTGACGTACATATACATTTGATTTAGAGAAATATAATCTTGCTAAAATTTTGGTATTATTTTCTGTTTTCCATAGAATTTCTATAGTTTTTTTTTCCTTCAAGGTTTATGTGTTCAAATATTTAGTTTTTTATTGAAAATCTTATTGATGTTGTGTACCACTGCATATATAATCCATGATTCATGTTGATTCGCATTTAATTTTGTTACGAAACTGTAATGATCATGCAAAACCATTTTTTCCTTCTCTATCATGTCTTCCAAGAGTTTTATGTTATATTTTTATTCAGTTTTCATTGTTTTAATTGTTAAATCGAGATGTTGTAGATTTTTTTAAATTGATAATTGATAATAGTTACTTTTTTTATACATGTATTGTTAATTATTAATTTTTTATATAACTTTTAAAATTTTAAACCATATTTACATTTTCTGATTTAATAAATATGTTGATTTTGATCAATTAGATTGAATTTACTTTTTTTGTTGGACATAATTTATTAAATTAACTTTAATATTTTAATTATACCTAATAATTTTTGGTTTGATTTAAAAGCTGATGTAGACCAATTAAATCAAGTTTTTATGTCCTAATCATACTTAACATTTTCTATTTAATGAATATGCTGATGTGGACCAATCAGATCGAGTTTTTTAATCCCATGTGGACACCCTCAATGCACTATGCCATCAATTTTTATATATTATATGATGATGATTTCTCCAAAAATTATAAGTTTAAGATGACTTTCTTTTTTGATAATTTAAGATGAATGTTTTTTTGGTAGTATTGATATTTCTAAATAACAATTTTATATGTTTATATGAAAATTTAATCTTAATATTTTTTCTAAATAAATTACTCATTTAAAATATATATGCTAAATTTTTTTTTTAATTTAACTTATTCGTTATTGATTTACATATTTTTTTTTGTTAGTTTAGTTTTTGTGACAATGAATTTCCATTTTATTTTCACAATAGATTTAGACTTTTGACATAAATTTATTTTATTTAGTTAAAAAACCTTAATTTTCTATTCTATTGTGATAATTTTATATTTTGTATGTTTTAATTTATCTAAATTATTAATAATATTTTTTATTTTTTATGTTTAATGAAAAACACTGATATAGACTAATCAGATTGATTATATATGACCTATTTGAATGCTCTCATTGGCCTAAAAAATCAATACAGACCACAACTAATATATTTTAAGTTAGCAGTTCAGGTTTTAATTGTTTGTCGTGATTAAAATTTTAAAATAATTTAATTATGATTTTAAATACAGTTTTTAATAATTTTGTTCAATATATATGATTTTTTTTTCATAATCTATTTATATGTTAATTTATCTTTTAATTGTTAATAGAAAAATAAGATCTATTTTCAAAACTCTTTTTTATTAATAAGTAACTTAAAATTCAGAAACTTTCCTAATAACAACAAAAACAAAATTAAATAAATTTTAAAAATTTTCCTTATAACAATTAAAACAAATTAATGAATTTTAATATACAATATATAATTAACTAAAAATAATGATGATGTGTACCAATAGAATAGAATCGTTAAATCCCATGTGGACACCCTTAGAGGCATTTAACATCAACTTTTATTAGTAATAGATATGATTTGAGAAGCATGTTTAATGAAAAAATCTGATGTGTCCTCACCTTAACAAAAATTAGTACAAATTAATGTTGACATGGAAATGCGACATGTCAAATTTCCTAAAATAAACGAAATATTTTGATTGGTTCAATTATAATTAAATAAATTATAAAATTATAACATAAATACATTAGATTATAACACTAAAAATAATAAATTTAAATAAACAGAAAATAATAATTACTATGATTTCAATTTGTTTTTATATATATTCATAATAGATTGCATAAAATATGATTAAAAAACATTTACAACCAATATATTTAATATTTTTATATAGAAAAATAATAATAGATTATCCAATAAGATAGTATATACGCTATATATTAATAATGCTAGGGGTATGATATATTATTATTTGTGATTATAATTTTTTAAACATTTTTATATTATTATTTTTTGAAATTTGCGTAGCTTACATTACCATATCATTTGATCTCTTATCTTTTTTTTTCCAAATAAATTAAAAGGTTATATCATACTCATATACAGTCTCACTGTAGATCGAGAACTTGAGATCAGAAATAAACACAATGTAACCGGATGGAAAAATAAATTATAAATAAAAAATTAATATGAATAAGAAGTAGAAGTAAAAATAAAAATAAATTTTTATAATTTTTTTCCGTAACACTCTCAAATTTTGTTTTACTGAGTCATTTAAAAATCTTAAGAAAGGAAATTTATAATAAACATATGTGTGACTAAAATTTTATAATGAACACATGTATGCAGACCAACCATAAGAAATTTATTTTTTTCATCAAACCAATTCCTAAATATTGGACAAAGAGATAAGCAGAGAGCTACCGAAGAATTTTATAAAATATGATTTCATAAATTTTATAACAAATATTTATTATAAATTTTATTTGATATAATTAAACATATGAATAAGAAGTAGAAGTAAAGATAAAAATGAAGCTTTACAACTTTGATTTTCTGTAAAAATCTCAGGCTATGTCTTTGGTTTAGAGCATCTCTAGCCCACCTTTATTTTATATCCTCTAATTTAGAGGAAAATTAGCGATGTTACTTTTTCTTCTATAATTGGAGGAAAAAGTAACAATCTTTCTTTTTGCATTAAAATAGAAATAATTGGAGAGAAATCCACCTATATTTTAGAGGAAAAGATAGAAAAATACATTGGAGATGGTATTAATGTTTAATTTATTATTCAAAGTTAAAAAAAAAATATGAGTCAAAGAAGTCAAAAAGAACAATTTTAATCGATTTTATGTTTTAATTTTGAAATATTTAAAATATTATCTTACACATATTAATTCTTTCATGCATATTTTTTTTTAACATCTTAAAATATTATTTCACGAATCAAGTTTTGTATATGTTATGATCCATTATATATAATATTAACACATATATCAAAGTTAGAAATAGAAAAAATCTTATTTTTTTAAAAATAATAATTGAATATTAAATATACTATTTTACACATTCAACCATACACATATAAGTTTATGATCCGATTGGTTTAAATGCTGCGGTTACAGAGAATTTGTGGAAGCGAACAATTGCAGGTTAAAAAATTTGACGAAGAGATGAGCAGAAAGTTACCGAATAATATTATAAAATAAGAATACTCAAATTTTATAATAAGTTTTTATTATAATTTTTATTGAGAAACCATATATTATAAAACGCTGAAAAATAAGAAATTTTGATTAAATACAAAACGATAGAAACGGTTTTCGTGATTGTTGTTAAACGCCAAAAACTGTATCGTGTAAAATTATAACTTTTGCAGAAAATATTAGAAAAACTAACGAACACCTAAATATTATAATTCACTTATTTACAACGCATACCTACATACATAAATATATGTGTTTGTTTATAGAAAAATCAATCATACATTATAAAAATATATATTATAAAACATATATTTTGCTATTTTCTTTTGACATATAAATACCATATTTAGATTTTTTTCCAAATATGCAAGTGTATATAAATATTAATTATGCAAAAATCAAAGTTGCATGCAAACTTGTCATGCATACATTTTCTTAATCTCGATCACAGTCTAACTGTAATTTTAGTTATTAGTCAATTTGTATTTATTAGAAAATCTCTATATGTCTTAAGAGCGGTGAGGTGGTTGGTACACACAAATATGCGGACCATCTATCTACCCGCTCTTAAGATAAGTAGTGATGGTAAAACCTATTTTGGTTTACTTAGCAATATGTCAAGAAAAAAATGTCTACTTAAAATACATATATTGACAAGATTATATTGTGCAAAGGGAAAAATAAATATAATATAGATAATATTCAAATTATATTATAAGAATTTAATTATTATCTAATATAACTTTTACATTTGTGACTAGATGTTACTCCAAATGCTAAAAAAAAAGTTTTTAAAAAACACAAAATGATATAAAATATTTTGTGTGATTGTTGTTAAACACTAAAATTGTATATGAATAAAAATGTAACATTTACATAATAAGTTTTTAAAAGACACAAAATGATATGAAATGTTTGTGTGATTATTGTTAAACACTAAAATCGTATATGTATAAAAACATAATGCTTATATAATATATACGAAATTAATCAATACTTAATTATTACAACTAATTATATCCATAAAAGATTACACTTGCATATGTGTGCGGGCTAACCATAAATATTAAATAAATTATTATATATTTTAATGGTACAGTTTATTTAGTTATCATATTTATACTTTTTATCTAATGAAGTATTTTTAAAATCTATTTTTTATCTTTAATTTTTATTAAAATTTATAACATTTTTCATTAGATTTATTGTTATTTTTTATTATTAAATATTTATATAATATTATTGTTAATACATAATTAATCATAAACAAATAAAGTATCTTTAATATATAATATTACTCAAATATTTAACATATAAAATATTTTAAAATCCGCATACGGTGTATACCCAATCACCTAGTAACTTAATTAGAAGAACATACCTGACAGACAAACATCTGAAAACCACCAGCAAGGAACAAGAACCGTCTACCAAACCGATCAATAACCATGGTTGAAACTAGAATCGAACCGAGGTTAACCAACCCAAGTATTATCGTCGCAATAAGAGCCGCAGCAGAACCAAACCCAACCGATTGGAAGAGAACCGGAGCGTAGAACGCATTCACCGTAATCCCGGTTAACTGTTGAAAACAAGGTATCGCCACAGCAACCACAAGCTGAGGCCTGTACCGTCTCTCCAGTATCGTCCTAAACGGCTCGGCTCTAGCTTCCAAAGTTAACTGGCTCGACTTAACCAGCTCTGCTAGCTCGGCTTCCACGTCAGCTCTGTTTCTGGCACCACGTAGATTAAGCAGGGACGAGCGAGCGTGATCGTGTTTACCACGCGCCAAGAGGCTAGAAGGTGTGTCGGAGATGAGTAGACATCCGACGGTCATGATCGCGGCTGGTACAGCTGCCAGACCGAGTGAGATACGCCAGCCGTTATGGTGGTTGGCGGTGGCGTAGTTGATCAGATTGGCTGCTACGACTCCGACTCCGATGAAGAATTGAAAGCCGGTGTTGAAAGCTCCACGCCATTGCGGCGGTGCTACCTCCGATAGATATACCGGAGCCGCCTAACGTATTTACATTTTAGTAATTTATTCATTAAACCGAACCATATAAACCCAAGCATATCTAAAATGCTTAAACCGATCAAAAACCGAACCAAATTTTGTTTATATGGTTTAATTCATTGTAAAAGCCTTGAAACCGGAAGCAGCCTATTTGAGTGTAACCAAAGTTAACCAAATTAAACCGGAACCAGCCTATTTTATGTCGGAAAAAACAAAACCGAAATCAAAATTTATAAACCGGATGCCCATCTCTAGGCATATAGATCAACATAAAATAAATATACACTATATATAGTATAGACTTTACTGAGATCGAAGTTATAGCTACTTACTTGGTTAGTGAAGCCAACACCAAATCCAAGCAATATCCGACCAGAGATGAGCATAGCGATGTTGGCAGCTAAACCATTAATGACGGCACCAAAGAGGAAAGTGAAACCGCCAAGAATCATGGTGGTGCGGCGACCGTACGCCGCCGTGAGACGGCTAGCCACTAAAGAAGCGACTAGGCCGGCGATATAAAGACTTGATGTGAAGGCCGTTAGAAGTTGACTATCAAAGACGCAATAGACGTTTGTCTTAGCTTCCGAAGCTTTTTTAAGAACCGATGGAAAAAATTTCGCAAGAAACGGCTTCATCGTCGTCACACCCCCTTTTTTTAAATTAAAATTCAAAGAAAATATAATTAGAAAATGTTTTTTTTTTTTTTAAGAAACTGATTATTTTACTTTCTAAAAATTGTAACCTGAGATTCCAATGTCGTAGCCAAAGATGAGACCACTTGAGGCGGCCACAATGCATGTCATGACAACCGCAGCTGTGATCTTGGCGTCTATATTGCCGCCGGCGCCGGTAACGTCAAGAGCTAATCCTCCGATAGCCATTTTGCTTATGGCCCTACGCATGCAAATTTTTGTTTGTTTGTGACAAAGATAATACATTCAAGAGAGCTTTTAGGTATGTCTCTTTGATTAGTTGGCGGTGTGACTTGAAGGTGTAAGTGTGCAACCACTTATCTCTTAGTTAATAGCATAACCGATAAATGTAATAACGAATTTGATTTCTATAAAAAACTATTATATTTGTTTGTATCGAGGATACAAAAGTTGGGTATAACCACCGTTCTAAAATTTGGCTATCTAGTAGTTAAGATATCCCTTTGACAGCCAAAAACATCCAGACGTCTTCATTTTTGTTAAATCGGTGAAGAATCAATTGACGAGTAAATCAACGATGTTTTGGTTTTAGACATTCGAGAAATCGGTTTAGGTGGCCGATTAATCTATTTTTAGTTATCTTTATTTGTGTTTCGTAAAAAATTTGAAAAACATTGAACAAAGTATCATAATTGTATAATATCTATGATTGTTTCACAATAAATTCTCTTATGGACATATATAGGTATTTGAGTGGATTTGATTTTTTTCTATTTTGCTGATTTTGAAATCAATAAATTTATCAAATCCAAAGAAGATTTATAAATCCACCAAAATACAAGAACCAATAACCCCTACTAAGGTTAGACTTTGTATCTAAGTCTTTGTATTTTAGTCATGAAAATCCTTCTAAATCCATTCAAATTCAATTAAAACTTAAATCTTTATAAAATTTAAATTTTAAAATGATAGAACCAATAACACTGTATTTCATTATGAATTTTAAAATCATAGAACCAATAACACTGTATTTCAATATAGATTTTAAAATACAAGAATCAATAACACTGAATTTGGTTTGAATTCTCAAATCCATTAAAATACAAGAACCAATAACACCTCCTAAATCTAATCAAAATCTAGGATCTAATACCGAATGCTTATATCCGAGAATTAATTTTCTAGATACATATAAAAAAACTATTTTTTAGATTTCAACCTACCAAATATACATTCACAAGAATAGCAATCTATTTATCTATGCAAGACAAACTAAGAATCCAAACCTCTATTTAACAAATATCTAACAACACTAAAACCATAATCTTCTCAACAATGAAAAAAATGAATTCTTTAACAATTCAAACTCTACTAACCACGATTCTTCTCCTTACAATTCAAACATCATTCGCAACACCACGAAAACTCGAAGACAGTTTCACACAATGCCTCATCGTTTTCAAACCTTCCGACCCAAAGATCCTAATCCAAAACTTCACATACATGCAACAAAACTCTAACTTTTCCAGCATTTTCAACAACTACGTCCGTAACCTCCGTTACTTCAACGGCACAACACGTAAACCGTCGTCATCGTTGCCGCCGCCGACGTCACTCATATCCAAGCTACAAACAATTGCGCCAAAAAACTCAACCTCCAGATACGAATCCGAAGCGGAGGCCACGACTACGATGGAATGCCTTACTTATCCACCGTCGATTCGTCCTCCTCGACATGTTTAACCTAAGATCAATCGAAATCCATCCAAAACTCGTTACCGCATGGGTCCAATCCGGTGCGACCTTAGGAGAGATCTACTACAACGTCGCCAACAAAAGCAACAACCTCTGTGGCTTCCCCGCCGGAATCTACCCCGGTTTAGGTGCCGGAGGGCATTTTAGCGGCGGCGGTTACGGAAACATGATGAGGAAATACGGATTATCGATTTGGTAGAGGTCCCAAGCTTTGAACCCGATCAAAGCTAAGAATTCTCAAAGATAAAATAAGAACATAAGACACTTGATTTTCTGGGTAGTTAAGACTATCTTTTTTTTAGTTTTTCTCATTGGTTAAATAGGTAAAAGTACAACAGAAATCATCACGATTCCTTACACTTAGAAAAAACATGAAAAAGTGGTTGAATGGTTCTTTACAAGTAGGAAGACCAGTTCAACTTATTAACTGAAACAAATTGCAGTAAAACGAAAGAAAATCAGAGGACTTATTCTCTTTAGTCGATGAACTTTTGATTGGGCCTTCGTGCTCTTGTCGATTGCCTCCTACATCCCACTTCTTCCGGCCCAAGTTATTGTTTCATACTTTGACGCTCATCAATACTTCCCCTCCTAAAACTAACCTTGTCCCCAAGGTTCAAGTCGGGAAAGCTTTCCTGCAGTTGAATCATGCTCTCCCAAGTTGCCTCTTCTGCTGGAAGCCCTTTCCATTGAACGAGGGACTCGAAAAGGAAAGTCTGACCTTGTTGAGAAGTTCGTTGATCAAGCACTAGGTCCGGCTCAAGACGCAATACACCACTGTCACGAAGTGGTGGCAACGTTGCTGCAGTTGGGATAGCACCGCCCACTCATCGCTTGAGAAGTGAGACATGAAAAACTGGGTGTATCCGAGCTCCTGCAGGCAACTTCAGACGATACGCAACTGGGCCCACTTTAGCTTCAACCTCAAACGGACCGTAGTATCGGGTTGCAAACTTTTGGGAACTTCGACGAAAGACAGAGTGTTGGCGATACGGTTGTAGACGCAAATAAACCCAATCACCAACGTCAAAACTCACATCCCTTCGGTTCTCATCAGTAGATGTGGTAGGTGGTGTTGTACCAGTACTCGGCCCATGGAAGGAGAGAGCTCCACTCGCGAGGTCGATGATGTGTGAAACAACGGAGAAATTGTTCGATACACCGGTTAACCACCTCGGTTTGACCGTCGGTTTGCGGGTGGTAGGCTGATGACATACGTAGCTTTGTGCCAGATAGTCGCCAGAACTCCTTCCAAAACGAACTGACAAAAACAGGATCTCGATCACTAACAATGGACCTCGGTAGTCCGTGCAGCTTGACGATGTGTTGTACGAACTTTGACGCTACTGATTTGGCTGTATAAGGATGGGATATGGGGACCATATGTGCAGATTTTCTGAGACGATCCACGACCACCATAATTGATGTGTGACCCTCCGATCGCGGTAAGCCATCAACGAAATCCATGGAGATATCCTCCCAAACGTGGGCTGGGATGGGTAAAGGCTGCAACAAACCGGCAGGAGAGAGTGTTGATGATTTTGCCCTTTGACAAGTGTCACACGCGGCAACGTACTCTCGCACCATCCGTTGCATCTTAGGCCAGTAAAATTGTTGAGCCAGCCGTTTATACGTGCGTAAGGCCCCATAATGTCCACCTACAGGGGTATCATGGTATTCCTGGAGCAACTGTGAAACAAATGGAATATTTGGAGGGATTACCACTCGGTTGTTGTAGCATAAGAGCCCATTCTTCCACGAATATGGCTGTCCTGGTGAGGTGTCCGCGATCTGGCCCATTTTGATAAGGTAAAGGTCTGTTTTTGCAGCTTTGCAAAGATCTTCCCAGAGCTCCGATGTCTGAATGAAGATAACATTAAGGCATGGGCTGCCAGCTCTGCGAGACAATGCATCTGCTGCAACATTAGTAGCGCCTGGTTTGTATATGATCTCATAATCATAACCCACCAACTTCCCCATCTATTTCTGCTGTTTGGGCGTAAGGATTCGTTGTTCAAGTAAGAATCGAAGATTTTTTCTGATCTGTTTGGATTGTAAAACGGCGACCAAGCAAATATGGGCACCACAAACGGATCGAAATGACAATCGCTAGCATCTCACAGGCATAAGTGGACCAACTTGCTTTGCTACCCCAAGTGCACGGCTCATGAAAGCTACTGGACGACCTTGTTGTGATAAGATCGCGTCTATACCATCACCAGAAGCATCTGTCTGGACAACAAATGGCTGAGTAAAATCGGGTAATGCGAGGGTTGGTGTAGTGGTCATAGCCTGCTTGAGCTTAGCGAAAGTCTCCTCTGCTGCTGCCTCCCAAATAAACTGTCCTTTCTTTAGTAGGTTCGTCAATGGTCATGCCATTATACCATAGTCCCTGACAAACTTACGGTAGTAGCCAAATTTGATTTGTCTAAAAATACATATATTGTTTATTGAATAAAATGAGTTTGGTATGTCCAAATTTAGAAATTTTAATTTCGTTAAATTTGTCTCAATGAGAAGATTGAGAATCTGAGATTATTTTAGTCAATTTGTGAATATGAAAAATTAGAATATTTTTTTTGTATAATTTATTATGTTTTATTTGATAATTCATGTTAGAAAATATATTAATTGTGTGGGAGTTCTAATTTGTTTGAAACTTAAAATTTTGGCCAAGAATAAATTGAATTGTGGTAATAAGATTTTAATATAGGAGATGATTGGAAACATAGTGAACTCTCGATCCCGTATTATGAATTAAGTTACTATGATTTAATTTGTGCTTATTGCAAAATTATGAGTGATGTGTTAAAAGTATGAAAATAAACTAATGTCTCTAAATGTTTGAGCAGAAATGGCGTCTGCTTGTAAGAACATTATTGTTGAGCTCAATCGAGGAGACAAACAAGATGGTGATAATTACGATATTTGGTATCGTAAAGTTCAGTATGTCCTTGAAGAGCAAGAGGTGAAAGAGACTCTTTTCCATGACCTGGAAGAGCCTGAGCAGGGTACTACAGCTCAACACAGGAGTGATCAGGAGGCATATACTGTCTGGAAAAGAAAGAATAGCATCGCTCGCATTACCTTGCTGAGTTGCATGCAAGATGATCTCATGTGTGAGTTTGAGGAGTACAAAACTGCAAAAGGCATGTGGGAGGCCTTGAAAGAGGAGTTTGGTGCCACATCGGCGACCAAGCTTAGGAGACTTAATCAAAAGTTCAATGATTACAAGAAGCGCCCAAATCATTCAATGAGGCAGCATCTTAGAATCATGTGGACCATGATTAGAGAGCTTAAGAGTGCTGGTCAGATTATATCTGATGAACAGCAAATTCAAGCAGTTCTCCGATCGTTGCCTGAAGGTTGGGACCATATGAAGGTTCAGATGACGCACAATTTAAATGTGAAAATATTTGAAGACATTGCACATCACCTCGACTTAGAGGATGAGCGCCTTGAGGCAGCTAAGCCTTTTAACGAGGCCAACATTGCGAGTTCGAGTGCTGGCTTGAAACGCAAGAGAGGTAACAAGGGAAACAAGGCTCCCTATCAACTGATCTTAAGAAGCAAAACAAATTTGCCAAGCGTGGCAAGCGTGGGGGCAGAAAGGATAAGTCCAAAATTAAATGCTACAATTGTGGCTCATTGGGTCACTTTGCTTGTGAATGCACTGAGGCAAAGAAGGTATTATCCTTAAACTCTACTTGTAAGTATGCTTTTATTTCTAGTTGTGTAATGCTTGCTGAATCTCATCCTTTGTGGATTGTAGACTCAAG